CTGTGACTCTTTTTCAACTCTATTTCAATGTCCAACAATGCATGTACAGTACTCCAGAAAGGTTTTCATAAAGTTTAGTATATTAACTATATCATTTCTGTAGTTTAGCTTTTTGGAAAGTTTGGTTCAAGTGATCATTGGAAAAAGTTTTTTCTTTTTTATTATTTGATGGTATGAAAAAATGTTCTATGTTATCCCTACTCTTAAAAAAATTAATAGTACATATTTCTTTTAAAAATAAATAAAACAATTTTTAAGTTCTGTTAAAGAGGTTTAAAATGTAGAGAACATGAATATATAAGAATAGAGTTAATAATATGAGTGATCAAAATTTTATATATTATATGTATAGAGATTACTACAAGATTTATTGAGTCTTATTATAATGAGCTCTAAGCATATATAATAAACTATAAATTCTTAAATATTACATTGGTATAAAAAATGTAATAGGCATTTAAGAATAGAGTATATATAGATTATTTGTCATATTTAGATTTATATAGCAAGTAAAAATATAATACTAATGAAATTTTTTAAAAATGTATCAAAATTTTATTAATTTTTTAGAATATATAAATTAAAATAATTTATTTATTATAATAAAATTTTATAATATATATTATTTTAAAAAAACTATATTGCAAAAAAGGAAACAATAAATGGAAAAGTAATACAAATAGAACAAGTCAATTGTAAAAAAATAGAGTACTGCTTAGAGTAGAAAAATAGATAAACTGACATATTAGCAAGACTGTTATACAAATTGGTAATAAATGCCAGATTAGAAGCAGAATAAAAAAAAACAAAAGCAATCAAAAAGTTAAAATCAAAAACAGAGATTATAATTTATAACTAAACACAATTTTAGAAAAGACTAAAGATAAAAAAAAAAGTATATTGCATAATAAGAAGAAGTAGTATAAAAAAATATACATTTATAAAATATATAATAAATAAATTTTTGACTTTAAAAGAACTTAACAAAAGAAGACCAAATATATATACAACAATAGAATATTAAATATATCAAGATAAAGTTAAATAAATATAGTTATACTTGATATTATACAAAAAACAAATAAATTTCTGAAAATAAATTCAAAAAGTAATTATTATAACAGTCTAAAAAGAATTAAAAGGACTTGCATTTCTTTATATATGCTATATAAAATACTCTTCAGAAAAATAGAAGCAGAAAAAATAAAAATAAGAAAAGCATTAATTAAAGATCTAATTCTAAAAAAATATAAGACATATTAGTACAATTTCTAAGTACAAAAACAAGACAGCAGTTTGCAAATATAGTAACAAAAATAGCATAGAACACTTTCTATGAACAAGTTTAAAGAATACAATGTAAAAAAGTTAATAAATAAAAAAAAAGAAGTTATAACAAGCAAAATAAAAAAGAAATAAATAAAAAAAGAATTTTTTTAAAAAAAAGCAAATTAGCAAAAAATTAAAGAAGAAAAGAAGCAAACAAAATAGAAGAAAAAGAGAATCAAAAAAAAAACTAAAAAAACAATATTAAGGCTTATTATAAAAAGCAAAAAACCTTTTTATTATAGACTTTAAGTAATTAGACAAGCAGCCTACTTCTGTTTGAAATAGTATAGCAGGTTATACTTAGATACCTTTAAAGTAGGAGTAATATATAAAGTAGTATAGTATGAAATATAAAAGGAGTAGCATAGAACAACTTTAAGTTCTTATACTCATACATATATTTAAAAATCATACCTATCAAACTTATAAGTAGAAAAGATGACCATACTTATAAGTATAGCAAATATGAAGACAGTTATACTTATAAGTATACCTGTGTAACAAAAATGTAAAGCGAACATTTCACGTGATATAAGTGCTAGGTTTGGGATGATCTTAGATGATCAAAACTAAGATCAGATACATAATATAGCATGATGGGTAAATCTGTAATTAATTAAAAATAAAAAAGTATAAGGTAGCAAAGTAAAGCATAAAAAATTAATATAAAGAATAACAAATGATGTAATTAGTATATAATATAAAAGTAAAAAAAAAGAATGCAATTAGTATATAATACTGTAATATAAGAGTAAAAAAAAATGAATAGCTTTTGATATGATGTATATATAATTAATTTTAAGAGCTATATATTTATTAAAGAAAACTATATTTTAAATAAAGGTTCTCTTGAATTGGATTTACAATAAAGAACCTGTTAGTGTTTAACCCTACAATATTATAAATAATGTATAATTGTATATCAAACACTTTAACATAAAATTTAATATGCATTGTAATATTTTTGCTTAATAATGTTGATATATTTTGAATAATCATATGATAGTGTATATGTGCACATTGTACGTAAGATTTTTTTTTAAATAATTAAAAGCTATCAATATAAATTGCATATTTTTGTTCATGTTTACTTTCTTAAAATAGATAATCTTTACTTTCAAGCTATCGATAATTCTAATTTTTATATTAGCAACAATTCTAACTTTTAGATTATTGATGAAGTTGAAACAATTTACAAAGAAGATCTAAAATCTTTTGAAAATAAAAGTGTATTAATTTTTTCTGATAATGAACTTCAAGAGATTGATAATAATATTGCACGCAATTTAAATGAAGATACAATAACCTATTTTACTAAAAAATTAGCATTAAAGGTTATTTATCATACATTAATGCCTATAGAATATCCTGAAACAAGTTCAGAGAGTGTTGCTTATATATATAATGTTGAAGGTTGGAAAGAACCATTAGCCATATTCAAAGATATTGGTAAAGTTTAAATTTTATATATTTTATTATAATTTAATATATTTTATTTTTAAATTCAATATTTAATTGAAAAGCCTGATGGTAAATATAAGGTTATGTGTCTATATCTTGGTGTCAAAATAAAACATGTAATGCAAACTTGTCAGAGTTCAAAACTTTGTAAATTTGCTGCATATAAATTATATAATCAAATACATCAATGTGTTAATATTAATTCTAATTTTATGATACAAATAACTGAAAACATTTTATCCAGTAATATGGATAAAAATACTTTTGAGTAAGTAATAAATTTTGAAAGTTTTATAATACTATAATATATTAATTAAATATTTTAGACTTTATTTTACTGGTCTTGAAACACTCTGCAAGTTTCAAAAAAACAAACAATTATATGAAGGCAAATCTGTTTTATGTTACTTATCATGTTAAGATAATTCTAAATCTACCTATTTTATTGGATGTACCAATTGGAAATTTGAAGAAAAATGTTATCATTTTATGTATATTCTTTCTAATATTAATATTGAGCTTTTGCACAAATTATTTGATAACACTTATGAGATAAATAATTAATTTTAATTTAATTAATTAATATATCTATTACTATATAATTTAGATAATTTTTAATTATATGTATACTTATATAGTCTAACTATATTGGTAATGGATTTACAAATAAATGTTATATTGTATACTCAAATTCTGTAAAAAAAAATATTGTTGTAAGTATTATAATATAAAATAAAAATAATTATCATTATAAAATTTTAATTTAGTATTCTAATATTTTATATTGTATTATTAGCTTATCTTTATTAATCAGAAAGCAAAATTTGTCATGATCAAATTAAAAAAAATTATGTGAAGTCAAATTCTATAAAATTATAACATTAGATCTTAAAGCATATTCATTTGTAATTCTTATATGTAAAAAATTATATATACATCCACTACCTCTTTCTATATAAACTCCAGATAATATTAAACAAAAGTTACAAACATTTGTTAAACAAGCAAATGAAGATTTATTAGATGTAACTCCTACTCATATTATAACAGGTAAATTTAAAATAAATTTTATTTAATATTATATACATATTTATAATATATACAATATTTTTATTTAATTATATTTTAGGCAATTTGATTAAGACCTATTTTGGTGTTAATAATTTATATGAAGTTCATGTTTTACTTAATGATACGAATAAGTTATAATATTGTGTAAACAAAATTCAAAAAGAAAAACATTCATTCAGTCAAGATTTATTAGAAGTTGTATATAATTTTTTACATAATATTGATGACTTTTAGGATTATATTCAATGATTAAGTAAGTATATATTAAAATATAATTTTTAAAATTTAATATTTATTTATTTTATTTTATTTATTTGATTTAGATTTTTTTAATAACAGACATATAATGATTATTTTATACTACTCAAGTTCAAATACAAAAATGGATTAAATGTGATTATTTTGAAATCTATCTATCATTTAAAAGAGTTATTAGTAAAATTAATAAATTTGAAATAAATTATTACAATAAACAGTATAATACAAGCAAGTATTTTTTTTATATTATATAATATAGTGTTAATTTTTCAGTTAAAATTTGTTATAAAGATATTGCATATTTTGGAAACTTTTTTGTATGACAAATAAAGGCATTATTTACAAAATGTTGATTTTTCTATGCAGCATTTGCATATTTGTTCAAAAGAAAATGTGTGCAAATTTTATTTTTGTATACTATGCATAGTTTGCATAGTAAAAAATAATTACTGATAATATGCATATATTAATTATAATTTATTTACATATTAGTTTTAACTTTTGCTCAAATTTTTACAAATCAAGCAACTACTATTGCATATCAATGCATATTTAATGCATTATTTGATCTTATTAAGCAATTTACTAGTGTATTAGCAAAATTTCAGCATATTCATGAAAATGGATAGGCTTGTATTATCAGTAATCTTAATATAGTGCAACTTACTAGATTAGGTGAAACTTTGGTTTTAATTGATAATTTTTTTACTTGAAAAGAGCATTTAACTCATATTTTTAAATCTTGTTAAGTTCATTATAAATAGTAATTAATAATAGTAATTAAATTATATTTATTAAACTTATTAATATTAATATTTTTTATATAGAAAACTACATGAAAAAAGATTTGAAATTAATATTAAAACTAAAATAGAATTATTATTAACTGCAAAGCTCAAAGAAGTAGAATTAATATTTGATAAATTATTAGCATTAGATAATAATCTTATGGGTAAGTTTTATAAAATGATAATTAAATATATTATTTTTAAATAAATTAAATCAATAATTATTAATTAAAATAAATTGAGTTCAATATTATAAACAACCTTATATAATCGCATCACTTAATCCAAATATATTAAAAATTTTACATGATTTGTGGTATATGGCACCAAATAGTACAAACTGTGCTGAAGCAGCACATATTATGAGTAATCATGAAGGCAAACAACTCAAGCTAATGATGGCAATACTAAAGTTTAATTATATAAACATAATATATATATATATATATTTACTTATTAATTAATTTTTTTAGAGAGCAAAAGCTAGATATGCACAATTTTAAAGAATTAATATAAAAGCCAATAATAATGTTAATATAAGTAGTTAAGACAAAAGTGATATTGCATAAAAAAAATTGACTATTAAATGAAGCAGTCAGTATTTTTTATTTTAATTTAAATTTTATTTTTCTTTTTTTTTAATATTTATATTGATTAAATTATATTTATTTGTACAAATAGCAAAATAGCAATTTAAAGCTAATTTTTTAACAAAAAATAAAAAACAACAAATATTCAAAGTAATCGATTTAACTAACGAAACATCACAAGAATCTTAAAGCAACAATAAACCTAAAGAACCTGGTATGACAATAATGGAACAATTAGAATATAAGGAATGCATATTGATGATTGCAGAATATAAAGAAAATTAAGAGAATTACAAATTTCTAATGCTATTAAAGAGTGCAAATATGGTCTCAAAGAATAAATATCAAATATTATATATGTATGAGAAAATAAAAAAATTATTAATATTTTAATATTAAAACTTGTTTAAATATAGTAAGTAGTATTTGCCTGTTTAAGGCTGATTGAGTGATTATTTATTTTTTAATTTGAATAAAATCTATATATATGTTATTATGTATCAGCACTTATTATTAAATAATTTATTGACAAATTTATAGCATTAAACTCTTTTCGATGATTATTTGAACCAAACTTTTCAAAAAGCCAAACTACAAAAAATAATATAGTTAATATATTAAACTTTATAAAAACCTTCCTGGAGTACTGTACACGCATTGTTGACATTAAAATAGAGTTGAAAAAAAGTCGCAGCCTTGTGATGACAGTTTAAAGAGCACTCTAGAACTATAGAAGAAGTAGTCGATAAAAGCCAAGGTTCTTCATTAAGTAAACAACAAAGTTGGATGTATTAGTTCTATACAACTGTAAAACCTACAAGGAAC